CCGCCGCCCGCGCTCCGCCCGCTGCCCCGGCCGCCTCGCCTCTGTCCAGGGAGGTCCTGTTCGCGTTTTCCCAGTCACGGCCGGGCGCCGGGCTCCTCCGGCCTGGGCCGGGTGCCGAGCAGGTGGTGACCACCCTCCCGTGGCCACCTGGGCCGGCGTGACCGCCTCAGGCCCAGGGGCACTCCACCGCCCCGTGGCTCAGGGACGCGTGGCAGGCTCAGGCTGTCTTGGGGACGACGGTGCGGCGGCCTTCACCTGCTACTGGCGCCGAGGGGCAGCCCGGCCCCCAGCGGGAGCCCCGAGGGCGCTCGGGCCCCAGGGAGGCGCGCGGGGGGGGGGGTGCGCCTGCCGGTGGGGCTCACACCTGACCAAACCCCCCACCGCCTCTTACCTGTGGCCCATCCCACCTGCCTCGCGCCCCACCTCCCCGGCCTGTGGCAGGGCAGCCGCAGAGACTTGGGGGTCGGGGGTGGCCTGTGTCCGGAGCAGGACCGTGAAGGGCTGTGCGTGGCCCCCGCCTGGTGGCCCTGGGTCCTGCCGGGAGACCAGCTCAGGGCCAGGCGCCCGCTGCTGCCCAGGGAGGGAGTGGTGTGCAGGAGGCCCTGAGCATGCCCTAACCTCACCCCCATGCCCTAGACCTGCCATTCGAGTGGGCAGTTCCGGGGGGCGGGGGGCTGGTCCGCAGATTGGGATTTAGCACCTGCCCAAGTGGGTTAACTTGAGCTAGACTGGGCGGGGGAGGAGACCCTGTGGGGGCCCCCCAGCTGCTCTAACAAGTGACCCCACCGGGTGACAGCGCCTCAGACACGTGTCCCCCCAGTGCTGGACTCAGAATTCCCAGTCTGGAGGTCCAGGACTGGCCAGCCTCGGGGCTCTGGGGAGCCTGCCCGCCTCTGCCAGCTTCTGGGGGCTCCGGGGTCCCTCCCTCGCCCCCGCTCTTTCCTGCTGGCCTCTTGTAGGGCCGCCCTCGCTGGACACCCTTGCTGTGCCGACTCTCCCTTACACACACCTGCAGAGGCTGATTCCCATGCAGGGAGACGCTGCGGGTTCCGGGGTGGCTGTGGACTTCTGGGGTCTGCTACTCTGCCCGCGCCGGGGACCCGGCCTGGGACCCCGGGGCGCGGTGCCCCCGCCCCACTGCCGGCTGGCGGCGAGTTCGGGCTTCCTTTCCCGGGCGGGGGACTGAGGCCGGGAAGGCTGCACAGCCCAGGGCACGCCCCGGGCACAGCTGGTAGCGGGATGCCCGAGCGTGTGACTCCAGCGTGGGGGGCTTCCCGGCCTCGCCAGGTCTGTGGAGCCGGGGCGCATTCGCCCCACAGTACGGAAGAAGACAAAGGGGCCTTGCTGCCGGCTGGCTTTCACTTCCTGGCCAGGGTCTGGAATGTGGCTAGCCCCATGAATCACGCGGCCGGCGGGCGGCGGAGACCAGAGAGGTGGCGATGACGCCAGGACGGCATCACTGCTGCTGGCAAACATGAGCGTGTGCGCC